GCCGCCGTACGGTTGCCGTAGATGTAATGTGACCGAGGCATACGAAAATCATGACCATTATTTTGTTTATTTTTTTTATTCATCATCAATAATGTTTACAAATAATTTACATATCTCGGATTGACATGTTCATGGCAGGGAATATTGCAGTTTCCACAACTGAACCCCTGCTGTTGTAAAAGCTTGAAAAGCTTCAGATTCTTTGTATTTCTATTGAAAAAAGCAGTAATCCTCAAAGATGTAAATAGCCTTTTTTAAATTGATATGCGAAAAAGAGAAAACGTTTCTGTATTGCCAACGCAAATTTTCGTAAAGAATACGCTAAAAAGAGACGGAATTGAACAGTTCATTATGGGATTATTGGAATAAAATGATCGGAATGTAAACAGTGTAATGAGAGAAAAAATCAAATGTTGGTACAATTGTGCAGATGATCACTTACTTCTCTATCGCCACGTTTAGGTCTGCATGTAACAACAGCCACCATGGCAACACAGATCAAGGCAATAATAGCGACTCTCATATTTCTCCTCGTCTCTTTAAAGATGTCACAAAAAATCTGTAATAAACGTCCACAGAATAAGCTTTCCGAGAGGTACATATAGGTTGATATAATATATATATATTTTTGTCTGGAAATTATTTCAGAATATACCGAACTCCCTACCCCATGTCTTTCTCTGACAGACATAATAATATGTCACTCTGGTACTTTGATTTGAGGCATGACTAATAACAACGCAAAATGTATGCATTCTGAAATCTGGAGAGAGTTAAATGTTCTCAAATCTAAATACTCGTATTTTCAAAATAAATTGATAAATATGAATATAAAAGATCATTGCCAAAATGTTCCTTACCTGTGTTCAGCTGTAGTCTGCGAATGTTGAGACCAGCTGACAAGAAGTTTCACTTTTTATACAGATTTATCATTATTGATTGAACATTCTTTAGAAATGTGGCAGTTCTCAATTGCGAATTTCAGTTTTCGAAAACGTGGTCTATTTATGATAGAACTAGGCTATGTCAAAAGTTAAGTTGTCCGTATAATAAAAGTAGACAATAGTCTAGATGCGAATAGAAATAATCTTGATTTACGTCATTAATTATTCAAAATTCAGTCAAAGTGATCATATTTGAAATCTACATGTAAAAGTACTTCTAAAAAATGGTTTCGAAAATTGTTCATCAACTTTGCAAATTTTTTATTTTTTTTTGAAAATGTGACTTCTAGCTCGGGTTGAATCCTCATAGAGCCCATGTTACAAAATCACAAAAAGTGAAATATATTTTCTTGTATTGGACAGATAACATTTTCTTTTACTGGACATATTTTAATTTGCATAACTATTAGATACATAAGGGTTATATAAATATTGAACCACTAAAACAGATGTAATTTAAGTTAAAGGGAGAGTTGTTGCGAGATGATACTCGTGTTCTGTATGGTTGTAAACTGCTAATATTTGGATACTTTTAGACGAGAAATAAAGATATTTTGAGGCAGATGTATATTGTTAAGAAATACTGATGCTGGATTTTCAAAATAAAATAACCTATAAAATGAGGCCATTTTGTTATTTGAAAAAGGTACACGTTGAAAATCTAGTTTTTTTTCATTTATGAAATACCTTGATAAATGAAGATTTCAAGTGATTGCAGTGTTTGTTGATATTTGTTTATTTATTGAATGTTGTTGTTTATTAGGTGATGCTTTTTCTGGGAGTTTTCTGGATGTAAGTTTCAATGTTAATCATTTGAAACGATTGTAAGAGTCAACAAAACAAATAAAAACCCCAGTGTTTGGCTGTCAAGCCTTGGCCATATGGACCCACCCTTAAATCGCCACCGTGTGGACGATTCGGTGGAGACGACGGGACACGGCATGGATATACTATAATCAAGATATCCCCCCAAAAATTAAGCCCAAAATAAGTCACATAGTGGCGACGAAAGGTGAGCCCACACGGCCAAAGTGACAGCTACTTAACCAAAGACAAGAGCTCATAAGTGTTTTGCTTGTAAATGTCTACAAGGTGATTGATATATATATGTTGCATCATACAGAACATATGTTAAACATCAATGATGATCTTAAAAAATATGTCTAAATCCAAATAGCTATTGAGAAAGCTAAATTAGTCTTTGGCATTGCATTATCTATGTCCTTGAGATTTCTTTAGAGTCTGTTCTTCATTTGCAATCAATAACCGAACGCATTGATCCTGAAAATTTGAACACAAGTCATGTTCATTTTCTCCGGATGTTAGTCAGCCCGCTTCAAATTCCAAAAGTCATCGTCCCTGCTTACAGAACATATGTCAATTGTGTTTCTTTGGGAAGACAAAGACCGCATCATGTAATTGAATGTGAAGTACCATTGATGGTATTGATGAATTTAATTCAACAATCTCTCAAGCCAGTTCGTTCAGTGCGTTTTTGCAACCAAGGTAAGGAAGCACGATTTCCCGGCGTGACAGCAGACCTGAACCAAATTAATATGCTGAAGTGTGAAAAATATGACTATCAAACTAAACAGTGTATTTCCTACAATATTGGAAACAAGATAACTATCAATATTTTATGGATTTCATTTTAATTGGCATTCACTTCCGACTATCATAACTTTGCCCCTCTATCCCCAATCACCTTGATTTGTACGTCAAAATGTGTCTTATCTGTGGCTCAAGGTTTTATATGTCTCTTGCAAAACATACCAAAAATCACCAAATTTGAACCCCAGAATTTTACCTTTGTGGCTATTTCAAAGATAATATGGAGTTTAAGCTAGCATATAAAATCGAAACGCCAACCTATACGTATGACCAATCGCCCAATCGCTTAAATATCTTCCGTTCACGTCTAGGTTGTGAAAAAACATTCAAAGCCCAAACTCCTCAATCTCTGCACTAACAACCCGAGAAGCATCGGAAAGTTGAAACAAGAGATTAGGAGGGAAGGGGAGCTGCACAAGATATCTGTGAGATTGTGGTCTGAAAACTTCACCCGATGAGTTCAAGCTTGTCTCCATAAACAAGACCGGCATTGTCATCATGTTTTGTAAAATGGCCATAAAATCATGACTTTTTGGAATACTAATAGACCCATGGAACTTGGTTGAATGAAAGAACATTGAACGATGTAATTGAGATTGGGAGGGTTTCTCGATCACTATCCGAAGTGACATCTATTTTGCACAGATAAGAAAATTCTGTACTGGATAAAGCATAAGAATGAGATTTTATAAGAAATAATACACCGAAGGCCGAAGGCCTGAGGTTATTATTTCTTATCAAATCGAATTCGAATGCTTTATCTTACTTAAATCACACACATTCTTATTACAGGTAAATGGTATATTGCAGGTAAATGGTCAATGATCTAATCTGGAAAATGTTATTTCTTTTGTGTTGACTATTCAAACTGTGAATTTTGCAAACTCCAACCAGGCTCACAATGACCCTGGCTCTTATTGGTTAAAATTTGTTGATATATAGCCAATTAATTGTAACAACAAAAAGAGTTGGTTGCATTGACCTCATGAGTGTGAGTTGATGTAAGTGACTGAGTGGGCTATAATTAGTCTTAGCTGTCAGTGCACTACAGGTGACTGTCCAGTCCAGAACATTGAATTTGAATACAGCAGAATATTTGTAAGTAAGATAAGATCAATGATGTAGATAGCAACAAAAATTGATAAATTGTTTTATTCTAAAGAATGCACAGTAACAAGAGAAGGGTACATGTATTTTTGTATATTGTTTTTAGGGAATGAAAACCATCAAAAACTGTCAATGGTCATTTATGTCTCACTTGTTTTTGATAGCTTGCCAAGTGTACATTCTTTAAAAACAATAGAAAAATAATGCACTTTCCTTTTGATAAAACCATACATTCTTAAAAATAAACCACAGCAAATTCTATTGTGTTGCTACCCAAGTGGGATTTAATATACAAATAAACTACATTACTTGATCTAAAGCGGTGCCTAACATTGACTTTTCACGAATGGTGTCTGAGTTCCCAATTTTTATCTTCTTTAAAACCTGTTTTATGGAACAAAACTGTCCTCTAACACGTTCCAATATTTCCAGATACAAACTGAAATATTGTTCCATATTTACAAAATCACAAACATCAAGTTTTAAATCAATATGCATTTTATTCATATTATTGTCAGTTTGTCCTTTCTAATGGTTCATCAATCAAACCCAGCTACACTGCCCAGCTATAGATTATATCGTTTTGTATGCGTTATAATAACTCAATTTCGTACTTGTATGCGTTATAATAACTCAATATCGTACTTGTATGCGTTATAATAACTCATTTTCGTACTTGTATGCGTGATTATAACTCAATTTCGCCAGAATTATAATAACTCAATTTCGTACTTGTATGCGTGATTATAACTCGATTTTGTACATTTCGATTCATCGAGAGCATCTACCAATCGAGATATCTGAGTTTAATGCTCATGAATCATTCTCTTCTGAATATATTGACAGCTTCAAAAGTAATTGTTAAAATAGAGTGAATGTTTATGTTAACGTTGTAATAATTACCGTATTGTACGATAGTGCGGTATGGTGCGGTGTAATGCGGTCGGTGCGATATAAATTTAGTATGGCATGGCGCCATACAATATCATATGGTGTGGTATATGGTACTGTGTTTTGATATGGTGCGATGTGGTATGGTGCAGTGTAGTGCAGTTGGTATTGTACGATATGGTATTGTGTGTGATTTAATCGGTGTGCTACTGTACAACACGATTTGGTGTGGTGAGGAATACGGTTTTATATGGTACAATATAGCATGGTATGGGAGAGCAATTTGGTATGGTATGTTGTGGCAAGTGATATATGGTATTGTGTGATTTGCTTGCGACGAGCTGATAGTAGATTTCGAAAAAAGCATTCATCATTTAATGTCACGCCTATTAAAAAAAATCGAAGTTCAACTGCATTACTTTATAACAGGATATACAATATATCAACCCTCGGTCCCTACGCTCCTTCGGATTGATATATTGTATTTTCCTCAGATATACCCTGTATCAAAAACCTCCCATTAAATAACCTCTATATATTCATGTTAAACATGCTGCGTTGCAAGTGTTTCATATTCATTAGGAGTAAGCATTCCCTCCGGTTCGAGTCTGGTATATACCTCCTCTGTATTGGCATATTCGTGTCTGTCGCATTCTGTGTTTGCATATTCTTGTTTGCCATGTTTTTCATTGTAACGTTCTTGATGACGTACTTCTGTATCTGTATATTCTTCATGATGTACTAATGTATCTTCATATTCCTGATGAAGATTAGCTGCATTAGCATATCCGGTGGCTTTGGTTTTTGAAGAGCCAGATTCACGACAGGTATCTGTTGGTGTAGTTAGTATGTTTAGGCGTTCCTCGTGCATGTGAGCATACTTTACTTCGAGCTCAACATCGTTTTCATATCGAACCTCTAGAACGTGTCTAGAATTAAACATGCAAACGTATCAGTGACGAGGCAAATGTAAATAGACGAATCAAATGTAAATAAGTGAGGCAAATGTAAATAGACGAGGCAAATGTAAATAGGCGAGGCAAATATTAATAAACGAGGCAAATAAAAGATAAAGGAGGTCTAATAGTACATTTGGACTTCATTTCCGAAGTTTTATTGGGCAAACGCGTACGTCTAATAACTTTACAATCTTGCAGGGGCAGTTGATGCCGCAAGCTTGGCAACGTTCATGCCTATTTACAGGTAGTTCAATAAATATTTGGAAATAATCCTGGTACCTAACAGATACATTTCAATTTGCTCATTTGTGATTCTTCGTACAATTAAAAGTAAGGATAAGAGGAAATCTATCAAGTGTTAGATAAAATCTGTCACTCGCTGTGTTCTCTACCTAATCAACTGGCTCATGCTCGAAGTATTTTATTTTTGATTTACTTATATTTACTCACCTCCATTGTCGCCTTACTAAAACATTTGTAAGAGTCAGTAAAATGAGAGCAAGGCCGAATACTCCCAATAGAGCAGGTCCGGTGAATAGTTCTGGAAATACAAGAATGAAGCCATTATGGAATATATAATATACAAGACAATATACAAATATTTAATTCTATTGAGGTGAATACCTGTGCATCTTTCACAAGTGATAGTGGAATATCATCTCGTGAAAGTGTAACAGGTATTCACCGAGAATTAAATATTTGTATTATTATTCACTGTTATATTCCCTACTCACATTAATGGAATAACAAACTATTGATGTCTAATTAATCATAACAATGTACTCCCGGGGATATATATAAAATTAAAACTGCACTGGACCAAGTCGGACTGGTGAACATCATTTGATATTCAATGGAAGTCACGTGACTTCCGTTGAATATCGCGTGCTACTTTTCAGTCACGTGTAGGACATGGACCAATCAGAGAGTGAGGAATATGACAGTGATATAATAATAATAGTTGGTTTATTCATATTCAATATCATATGTTTTGGGCCGATATAGTTATGTAACTGCCATACATGTACACGTGTGATAGGTTCCATGCCTTAAATTCATATACATTACATTTATATCGTACTCATTTTCATATTTTGAGGGTTGATTTCGTACATATTTCCACTTAATCATATTTTGTGTGATGTATATAACATTCAAAAATAGCCAGGGCATTTTGTAAATCTATTTTTTCTGCTAGAGGAAGTGATCTAGAGGTAAGGGATCATACTTAATAGGTTACCTTTATAATCTAATACAAAGGAGCTTGACGTTGGTGCCGGTGTGCTAATAGGTGACGGACATATTTCAGGTAGCTGAGGACGTGTAGTATCTGCAACGTTATAACAATTTGCCGAGAAACTCAAACCACGAGCATCTATAAATTAAATTGTGTCATGTAAGACAAGTATAGGTTAGTTAGTTAGTAAAATATTTATTAAAGTCTCACACTGTAGTTAACAATATACATACTAAAATATCATACAATAATTAACAGTCCCGCCGCGCGAACTTGGGTTGTATCGGACACACTATACTACTTATAAATGGCCCGTTATCACGATGGTTATGGGACATTTTAAAAGCGATGCATCATACAAATAAAATGTTTCATTATACTTTTTGCTGGACGGCTACAAGTGACCATTTTTTGACTAAAAGCACCATGCTTCAAATTAATAATTATAGTTTTCATGTCCCCATCAGAAGTACTGACATATTGTTATCGTCTCCAACTTTTTTGTTGATGGTGTTCGGTGTGTTGTGGTCGGTGTTCGGCTTTCGGCGGTCGGCGTCTGTAACAAATGGCTTGTTGCGACATTTGCACGTTAATGCCTTGTTACCTTTTATTGAGAGCCACATCATTGATACAGCAGGTTGTGATGAATTGAAGTAAAGTGTTATAGGGTACACCCCTCGGTAGATCTCCTTCCCAAAATTGCTTTCAAACGTTTGCAAGGGGATGACAGAACATCTCTCCATCTCAGAATCTCGAATCAACATGTTTTTATCCCCATTTAGTATGACACGTGATCTTATTAAAGTCACTATAACTGTAGAATTAACAGAGCCATCTATTTCACAAAGATAATCATCAGTTTTTCCAAGTGTTACATTTGGGTATGCTTTATTCAATAACTGGATTTCACGAACATTAGAAATGGTTTTATTCTCTCCGAGTCTCGCAACAGTATCAACTGAAAATAAGAATAAACGAATGTAAATTAATTGTTAACTTTTAATATGAATGATTTGAATGATGAGTTTCGCAACTACAAATAATTCCTTTTAACAAACAAATGCACAATCTGCATGACAGATGGCTATGTTTTGAGTAACCCTGTCCAGATTACACCACACTGAGAGAAAATCACCTTAGACCAGTACAATAGAAATGAAATCCTCAGAGCTGCCCCTAAACTCAGAGTGTTCAGTGGGGAACAATCTTCATTCAAGCAGATCTCTAAATATGAGAGGAAGGCTGCCTTTGAGCTAAGACAGGAATTGAGGAGAAGAGTGAGTAATAGTGAAAGGAATTAATCATCAGAGATAACAAGATCATAAGAAGATTCACTACAAATCAGACAAGGGGTCCACAGTGAACATCCTTGGTCCAAGGGTATTTCACTTCTTTCCATGAATTTAAGAATAAATGAAGTCCTTTGAAGAAGGATGCCCAGAGAAGTCAAGCACAAAGAATCCAACAACAGACCTTTATGGTCCCAGATAATGGCCAGACCACAGATAATGAAAGCAACAATGAAATCTCAACAGATGAAGATGATACTCTTGAAAGCAAGATCTACCATCAGGATCAGAATCTACTTCTTTCAAAGAAGCGAAATCAAATTCAAGTACTATAAAGGGTTCAAAAATGCACAAATAAGTTAATATTAAACGTTACGTGTATTAAATACCTATATTAACATTTACGTTTTCAGATTGAAATTTTACCTGTTCTACATTCGTATTCCAGTTGGATGTATTTATTTCTTACAAGTTCCGGGTCATAGCAACTACTCTCAAAGTCGGGAACTACGGCACTCTCATCAAACTTTGTTGGACTAAGTCCAAGAAATTTGTAGAATTCAAACGCATGTATCGTATCTTTACAGTCGTCTGCTCCAATTAGACCACATTGTATTTCAGAGGTTCTATTATTTGCTCCTTGGATAAGCGATTCCAGTTTGATAATTCCACCATCCGGGCACCCGCCTGTTATTCCCTTGGCACCAGGACACGTTTTTACTTCTCCAGACGCTAAAATGTTAAAGGAATCCTATAATCCTAATTATGAGAAAGATACCATATATATAGGAATCCTGAGGTTCTGATAAAAAACGCTATATCTCTAATAACTAAGCTTACTAGGAAATTAATGACCCATTTACTCTAAAAATATTGTGGAAAACGATGAACTTTTAAGTAAGAGCATTTTTATCAAAACTTCTAGATCGCCCATTGTATATGGTCCGTAAGAAAAGCAAATACGCTGTTGCGAGCCAACTATTTATTGGGATGACATGACTAGAATTAGAAGTCACGATATTACATCTTAGGGATTGCCACTTTTCTGTCTCTTTAGCCATTCCATTCATATTTAAATGAGGTCATAAAACAGTAGGTTAATCCGGTAACCGACAGCCGAATACAAGCTTAGTATACCCAGCCTATTTTTAGGCTAAACCCCAGTTCATTATAGTTCCGACATGATCATAAGATGTGTTTTATTTTATCAAATCAAATTAGCCAATTGTAAACTGGTAAATAATCAATCAGGAAAAATAGGAAATATAGGAAAAATAAGTACGTGTACCTGACATACAATCTACCACAAAAACTGAAACCAGAATCCATTTGTTCAAACGTTCTCCCATTTCTAAAATGCGTCCTGTCCGTTTCCTTTGGTAAGTATGCATTTTGGACAACCTCGCATTTAACAAAAATAGTTCTATAAACCAGGAAGTAATGCTGAAGTAATTAGTACTAAGTAAAATGTATTTAAGCTCACGCTTTCTTTTGAAAATTAAACATACATTAATTCGTGCTCTTTGGCCGATTCATAAATTCTATAATTATAACTTAAGTGCCATGAATAAAAAATATGTGTTTCTTCCCTTTCTATTCATTTATATAAAAAGCAATGAAGTAGAAAAATTACATTTCGAAATTGAATGAATTGAATAACTTCATACTTTGTCATTTAAAAAGTATTTTAATTATCAAATTTGCAACCTAATCACAAAGGAGAACCTACATAAAGTTTCAAGTGAGCTCAGCAGGGCTGTCACATCGCCCTTCTGGAATTTGGCAACAATATTACTCATATTTCGAAGACTAGTTTAAAGCTGCTAATGGAACTTGAATATAATCCATAACATATGTTAAAACCAAAGTGTACACTGCACCCCCAATCTGCAACATCATCTTGCAGCGCTGTACAGTGCTGTAAACCATAGGTTCTGGGCCGATATAAAGATGGCAGCACAAAAAGAATCCAGTATTATCTTTTCTCTCTGAAAGAGAAACATAAACACAGATCGATTACCATGCCATCTTTATTTAAAAAAATTAATATTTCTATCGACCTTTGCCTATGCTGTAAACAGTACTGAACAGTGCAATTTCGAGTACTGCGCTGTACAGCGATGTACAGTGCTACTTTAGCATCACCTGTTTTGAACAGCGTAGGTAGTCACGGTGTTATAGCATGACGGTTACGCGACCTCTGAAAACGAGGTTGGACGGCTACGTTCACTGATTTTTTCTATAAAATGGCCGCGATGGAAGAGGAAACTAAGGTTGGTGCATTATTTTCTACTACTGTGTATCAATGAAAGGATGAACGATTTATGTAAGCGTTGCATTTGGTGATGCATTCAGTAATGTATATTTTGAACGTAGTCTTTGCAAATTGATGCCCGGGGATAACATGAAATAAGAGAAAAACTGTCGAGTTTAAAATTCAAAACTACACAAAATTTAGTAATTTGTTTATTTTTGTTGTTAGGGCATGGTCTACATTGCCTAAAAACCTTGGGGTATATAGGTGTAACCTACATACGATCATGCAAAGCCAAGTGAGCATTGGAAATTAAACCACCTAATATGTTCTACTCAAGCCATAATAATGTATTTTGAATTTGCGGTAACGTAAAAAATTGATTGACGGTTACTCGAACCTGATTCAAATATGAAACCCCGATTCACTGTTATTAATTTTGTCATCTTCATCAGTACTTGATCCTAAATCTTCTTTTGCCTCTGATGATGTATGTATGGCATTTTGTTCAGATAAAATAAGGGTTCGAATGGCATTTTGAAAAGATTGCTTCTATTACTCTACACGTTCTAGTCGTTGTCGCCACTTTTCCTTCGTTGTCGCCACTTTTCCTTCGTTGTCGCCACTTTCCCTCGTTGTCACCACTTTTCCCTCGTTGTCACCACTTTTCCCTCATTGTCACCACTTTTCCCTCGTTGTCACCACTTTTCCCTCGTTGTCATCACTTTTCCCTCGTTGTCACCACTTTTCCCTCGTTGTCACCACTTTTCCCTCGTTGTCACCACTTTTCCCTATGGTTCACTGCCTAGTATTTATATTCACATTTTCATATTTAGCTTTGGGTTCTGAGCTTTGTTCATCATGTTTAACAGGCTGTGTTGCAAGTCTTTCATAATCATTAGACACATGCATTCCTTCCGGTGCGAGTCTGGCATATGGCTCTTCTGTATCCACATACGTGTGTTTTTCGCATGCGATATTTGCATATTCTGGTTTGTCGTATTTTATATTTGTATATTCTTCATGATCATATGCTGTGTTTGCATATTCTTGATCTTGGACAGCTTTATCTGCACATTCCCGATGATAAAATGTTGTATTTGCGTATTCTTGATGATCGTATGCTGTATTTGCACATTTCCGATTGTCGCATTTGGGATTTACATATTCGTAATTTATCCGTCCGGCCCTATTTAGGTCACCAGATTCTTGTGTGGTATCAATTGCTGTAGTAATTGTGTGTTGGTGTCCCTCATGTATGTTAGCATACGTTGCTTCGAGCTCAGCATCATTGTCATTTGGGCCCTCCCGACTTTTACTGAAATAAAATCAAAGTGTACACTGGAGTGGCGTAGCCAGTTTCAAACATTATTAAGCGTGGCAAATGACATAAGGTGATCCCAATAAAGTCTAAATTGACGCATACCATTCACCATGGCGTTTCATCTACTAATAGACTAAGGATGATAAAAAGAAGGTTCATAAATGGTATCAAATATTATCAGTTCTGTCAACCTGTCTATACAGCTTCTCTTTAAATAATAACATGGACTACATTAGTTGCTGCCATCTTTAAATCGACCTAAAATCCATGATATTTATTATTCACTCACCCCAATCGTCTCCTCACAAAAAATATTGTGAGAATTAGTATAACGAGGGCAACGACGAATACTGCCACTACAATTCCGATGATAACCCCTGAAAATGAAATATGAAGTCTGAGTGAGTTGAAACTAGAAGATGACACAGTCAATCATGATAAGCTTATAAGGCAGAGTCTCCGAAAATCAGAAATTGAAGCATTTAAAAATACGTTCTTAAAAAAGTGAGTGTCCATATAGGAATCTAGAAGGACTGGTCTTGAAGTGAGGGACAATTAATGAGATACCTTCCTCTAAATTGAATTGCTCCTCGCTTAGAGTATCCCGATCAGTTACATTTGTCATACTTTCTGTTGTAATGTCGTATTGTGTTTTCATCCCTGACACCTCTTTCTGGGCTCCATTCCCGTAGGTTTCTGATTCCTACAGCATATATTTTTGTTATTGAAGAAAAGCTTCATTTGAAATTGTTTACATTTTCTTTCAATAATTTAGAAATACAATAATACTGTTAAGACAAGGTAACGTATATCTTTACAATTGAAATTATTGGCTAAAAATACCACTGGTGATCCACGGTTCGTTTTGGTAACAAAATGTCGGAACGTCGAAGGTACGATTTTTCTTTTTTCCTTATTTCACGCGTTGTAGGCAGAATCCCCACGACGTTTTTTCTCAAAAACGGGTATCAGTATCATATGTTTTAGAAAAAGTTCATGTTTGCGAAAAAATAGCTCAGAAGACAACAGAATCGTCGATTTAATTCCTCACTTAAGTTACATAAACGATTTGGGTTAAAAGTGCAGATCTTAACTGTTTTTCGAAAAACCGTTTATGTAACTTAAGTGAAGAATTAAATCGACGATTCTGTTGCCTTCTGAACTATTTGTTCGCACATTTGTACATTTTCTTAAACATATGATACTGATACACGTTTATGTTAAAAATGTCGTGGGAATTCTGCCAACAACGTGTGACATAAGGAAGAGAAAAATCGTACCTTCGACGTTCCGACATTTTGTTACCAAAACGAACCGTTTTGGTAACCAGCGTAATCGAGTGGATCACCAGTGAATACGCAGTTCATAATGTTAATGGGAATAATGTAACTCAGTCTGACTTCATAACTAATTAAAAAACGTCCTTGAAAACTGACGAGAGGACTACATCAACAAAACACTCATACTGTACCTGTGCGCTTGTAATACCAACTTCAGTAGTTGCATACACTGCGGTTGTATCTCCGGATGTATATGTAAATGTATTAGCTGATAGGTTTTGGGATGGTGATAATGATGTGGACGCCACTATTGGTGATGGTGTGGTAACAGGTGGTAAACAGACTTCTGGTAGACGAGGAGGTGTAATGTGCCCAACATTATAACACTCAGCAGAGATTCTTCCACCATTGGCATCTAGAAATTGAACTTTGTTTAGCGAAACATTTTAAGAGAAGAATTATCAGATGGATAGTACATTGCATTATATATGATGGCCACGTCTAATTACCTGTATTATTCTACAAAACAAAGTTTATGTGAATGGATAAGAAAATATATCTACACGGTAAGTCCTGCTATTCTTTTTTAAATGTTCACTTACTACTAGTAGTCTAGGCTCTTCGTTATTTTTTGTTCGAATCTCTGCAGAAATTAAACCATTGTGACTTTATGAATATATTGGTTGTTTCAAATGAAAAAATGCACCCGAGCAAGTTCATGGGTCACTTTTCGTCCCATAAAATTATGTTTTACCCCCACCCCCAGGGGGGAGCAGGGGGGCAAAGGAAAAAAAATTGTGGACAGTTCTTCATATGCCACCATTAAATAAGTTTATACAATCAGCAGATATAATGAAAAATTGTTTTCAATGTTTTTTTTATTAATATTTCCTTGCAAAATCAATATTTTAATCACTTAATGTCCAGTGATGCTAAATGTTGGTAAATTGGATTTTGAAGATATTTTGTCATAATTCTAAGATCTTTTCATATTTATTAATGAAAAAATTCAATAAGAGAGCTCTTATATCACTCTATAAGTTTAATGAATTTCAAATCATAAAAATCATTAATGAATGAGAAAATTATTTTCACACTCAGCTAAGAAGCAAGATGGGGGGGGGGGGGGGTCCAAGATCTTCATCTTTTTTTAGAATCACTGCAGAAATTAAGCCATTAATATTTCATGTATGTTTTGATTTCAAATGAAAAATCCACCCTAGCAAGTTTCTCAGTCACTTTTTGTCTCAAAATTTATGTTTTACCCCCACCCCTGCGGGGTAAAACTAAAAGTAAATATTCTGAGCAAACTTTTTCCCAGATTTTCATGAAATAACTGCTACTATTATCTAATAATCATTGTAGATGTTTATTTTTCATTGTTCCCTTGTAAAATTGATATTTTAACCCTTTCATGTACACATTTTCAAATTTTGCTTACACTGACTTCGAGGATTTTATATCAGTATTCTAAGATATTTTGATATTTAGTGAAGAAAAATCAGGTATAAAGTTTTTCTATGAATCTTTAATTTCAAATTATAAAAAATGTTAATGATGGAGAAAAAAGATTTTGCCTCTCCACTGTGTGTGTGTGTGTGTGGGGGGGGGGGGGGGTGGCGGCAGGGGGGGGGGGCGTGACGTCAGGGTGGGGGGCTACCAAACTCTCCCTGACTGTCTTGAAAAAACTTCATCATAACTGGTTAACTAATGTTTCCCTCAGAGACAGAGATGGGGTACAACTGAGAAGATATTTTAAAGAAACTTAAAGAAACTTTGATTTTATTGATTCGAGTTAGCGAGTTTATCAATTCTAGCAAATTTGAAAGAACTAATATCTATTATAATATGAAAAATAAACAGCAAACTGCATGCTAGTCCCCTGGAAAGGACGATTCTCGGTTTAGAGAACGAAGTTCATCAATCTAAATGAGCATTACCCCTGCCCTCGGACAAATTTGATTTTTTTACATAATATAGATTTGAATGTCTTCTTTTGAATAGTCATAATTTAATTTGGGTAATATTTCTAGATTTTTCGCGAAAAAATATTAGCGCAGTACACTGATGAACGTCTTTCCCCAAATCGAGACTTGTATTTTATTGAATCGGTCTATTTGAGCATTATTCCTGCTTCAGACCAATTTGTTATTTTTACATCTTGTAGATTTAATTGTCCTCTTTTGAATATTCATAGTTTAATTTGGGTAATATTTCTATATTTTTCATGAAAAAAATTTTAGCCCAGGAGGCTGTTCTCCAAACCGAGATTCGTCCTTTGCAATTTGCCATAAATGTACTGTTCCTCTCATTTCATGGCATTTTGAGGTTGTTGTGTTTTCATAGTCTACCATAATTACCATAAAAATACTTTTACCATATTATTTAATTGCCAGAAGGATGAATCAATTGTTTAAATCCACCATAAGATATAGTATAGTAGGAACAAGGGGTTCCCATGCACCCATAAGGTGTGAATAAGTCACATACATTTTTGTAATCCCTAGGGTGTCTATTTAATGAATTCATTTGTTAACATTGCCAACTAATGTCCCATAGTACTTTTATGGCGGCATTCAGTTACCATGGTTACGCATCTTTAGACATCTTACCTTGGTATCTTAAATCATTTGTAGCTGTCATTATTTGGTCTATAGAAATGATATTGGTACCAAATTCAACCTCGTTAAATTTTCAATAAATTTCTGATATTCAATTATGCAAATTATCTAATTTGCATAAATTATGACGTCATCAATCTGTTTTTGGTTCAGAATTTCCAACTATAGCAACGTATCTATTAGAACTGAGGCCGTATGGCAAAATTTCTGAAAGGTTTTGTCCTTTATTCTATTAGAAGAAGGTATAAGCAACATAAAAGTGAAAACAGATTCAAAATTGAATCAGTATTACGAAAGTTATGTAACTTTCGAGGCAGCTATCGTGAATGTCATTATTTGACAATAATATACATACATCTTACCTTGGAGTCTTGAATCAATGTAGCTTCGCCATTATTTGGTCTATAGAGATGATATTGATATCTAATTAAACCTTATTAAATTTACTATATGGTTACAATATTCAAGTATGCAAATTAGCTAATTTGCATTAATTGTGACGTCATCAATCCATTTTTGGTTCAGAATATCGTAGTATAGCAACATATCTATTAGAACTGAGGCCGTATGACAGAATGTGTGCATAGTTTTGTCCCTTATTTGATGAGTGGAAGATATAAGCAACATTAAAGAGACAACAAATCTTCAAAATTGGATCAGAATTAACAAAATTATCCAGCTTTGGAGGCAGCTACTGTGAACGTCATTGTTTGACAATTATAAAAAGAATATTAAATTAACAAAAAAAGTAACAACCATAGTTGTTTCAATCTTATTGAGTAAAAATGTGCATGTATTGAACTGAACTAATAAGTATGTGGAAAGCTTACATGTATTTTGACTATCATTCACAGGGGTCAAAACGGTTATCTCGACCCTGTATATTAAAGATCCAATCTTATAATTTACCATGCACTTTCATGATGATTCATCATATGGTTTATGTAATATTTCTAACATTTCAGATGCTATGGTAACATCACTTGATAATGAGGTTTTTACATTTCACGTTCTTAATGAGTTAGAAGAAAGTTATTCTCCCTTTGCTTTAGAGATAAATAGTCACATGAATTTGTTTAAAAAAATTATAACTTAATTTAACCCCCTCCTGACAGCCCCCATATTTGAAGATTTTGGTGAAACCTGGCAAAATACATTAATTATTAGGTTCCAGAAGCCCCTAGAAGCTATATGATGGCCCCCCAGTGGCCCCAAGAATCTATACAGGGGCCCCAAGTGGCCCCCAGAAGGTATACGATGGCCCCCAGAAGCTATACAAGGGCCCACAGAAACTATACTGTGGTCTCCAGAAGCTATATGGTGGCCCCCAGTGGCCCTCAGAAGCTATATGATGGCCCCCAGAAGCTAATTAGTGGCCCCCAGGAGCTATATGATGGCACCCAGAAGCTATACAGGGAACCCCAGTGGCCCAAAGAAGCTATACGATGGCCCCCTGAAGCTATACAGCAGCACCCAGAAGCTACACGATGGCCCCCAGAATCTATATGATGGCCCCCAATGGCTCCCAGAAGCTATAGAGGGCCCCAGTAGCCCCTAGAAGCTATACGGTGGCCCCCAAAGCTATATGGTGGCCCATTGGGGGACACTGTATAGCTTCTGGAGGCCATCGTATAGCTTATGGGGGCTACCGTATAGTTTCTGCGGGCCCTTGCATAGCTTCTGGGGGCCATCTTATAGCTTCTGGGAGCCACTGGGGGCCCCTGTATAGCTTCTGGGGGCTACAGTACAGTTCCTGCAGGCCCTTGCATAGCTTCTGGGGGCCATCGTATAGCTTCTGGGAGCCACTGTGGGCCCTTGTATAGCTTCTGGGGGCTACTATATAGCTTTGGGGCCACTGAGGGCCACCGTATAGCTTCTAGGGGCTACTGGGGGACCCTTTATAGCTTCTGGGAGCCATTGGGGGCCACCATATAGATTCTGGGGGCCATTGTGTAGCTTCTGGGAACCACCATGTAGCTCCTGAGGGTCACTATTTAGCTTCTGGGGGCCATCATATAGCCTATGAGGGCCACTGGGGGCCACCGTATAGCTTCTAGGGGCTACTGGGGGCCCTTCACATCTTCTGGGAGCCATTGGGGGCCATCATATAGATTCTTGGGGCCATCATGTAGCTTTTTGGGGCTCCTGTATAGCTTCTGGGGGCCATCGTTTAGCTTCTTGGGGCCACTGGGGTCCCCTGTATAGCTTCTGGGAGCCACCGTATAGCTCCTGGGGGCCACTAATTAGCTTCTGGAGGCCATCATATAGCTTCTGAGGGCCACTGGGGGCCACCATATAGCTTCTGGAGACCATAGTATAGTTTCTGGGGGCCCTTGTATAGCTTCTGGGGGCCCCTGTATAGCTTCTGGGCGCCACCGTATAGCTCCTAAGGGGCACAGGGTTTCCTGTATAGCTTCTGGGAGCCACCGTATAGCTCCTGGGGGCCACTATTCAGCTTCTGGGGGCCAACATATAGCTTCTGGGGAGCACAGTATAGCTTCTTGGGGCTACTTGGGGCCCCTGTATAGATTCTTGGGGCCACTTGGGGCCATCATAAAGCTTCTGGGGGCTTCTGGAACCTAATAATTAATGTATTTTGCCAGGTTTCACCAAAATCTTCAAAAGTGGGGGCTGTCAGGGGGGGGGGTTAAATTAATTAAGTTATAATTTTTCTAAACAAATTCATGCGACTATTTATCTCTAAAGCAAAGGGAGAATAACTTCCTTTTAACTCATTAAGAACGTGAAATGTAAAAACCTCATTATCAAGTGATGTTACCATAGCATCTGAAAT